AATTATTTTTTAAAATCAATACTGATATATATATTTTTCATATAAAATATAAGATAATCTTTAATTTTATTTATTTTAAGTGTACTACAAAAATTCGAAAAAGACCTAAAAAACCACCAATTATAAGAGTATGAGGCGTAAGTCATCAAATCTTATATTGCCAAACCTAAGACTTTATTTGTACTATTAATTTTTACTAAAATTTCAAGTAAAATTTATAATAGAAATATCCTATGTTTTTAACCTATTTATTGATTGATTTACCTTGAGAGTGCAATGACCTGTTCAACAACCGCGCGTGAAACCACCATTCCTCTGGTTTGCTAGTTACCAACCTCTGCAATTAATTAAAACCAAAGCCTTCACTCCACCACAACTTCAAAACCTCCACCACTCACTCACCGGCACCGCCTTAAAACACACAAAACAACCCAGCAGACCTCCGTTCGCCATGGCAATGGTCTCTACATCTTGCTCGCAGCTCACCGTTCTCCGCCGATCATGTCTGAAACTCGACAGCCCTCAATCTCAATCATTTATTCCGAATATCAACTCCAACATTCGGTTCTCCTCTTCACGCAAAGCTTCCAGAACCGTTATCGCCATGGCCGGCACCGGAAAGGTACTGAAAAACTTTAGATCTAATGCGCAAGTCAATTTCTCTGCTTTTCATTTCAGTGATACATACATATATATATATATATATATATATATTTCTAACCATTTAGTTTGAATGTATGCGGTGTTTACTCGTTCTTTTATTTCTTAATCGAAAACTTGGTTCTTCTTGGGTAAAATTAATCCAAAGTTTGCTGTGTCTAAGGATTCTACTTCAAAAATTAGACATGGAATCTTCATTGCATTTTATGAGCTTCAAATTTATTGGAATTTCTCTTACTGACCAATCTTTCTGTTATTTCTTTCTTGTGCTTGCAGTTCTTTGTTGGGGGCAATTGGAAATGTGTAAGTATCTTTATTTACCATTTTTGTATTTTGATATGCCCTTTATCTTAATCTTAATTTTCTGCTATGGTTCATGAACTGGTTTATGTCAAATCTTGTTCCCTTGTTAATTGCAAGATATCTTGATATGGGAAAAATTTTTCCTTTTTTTTGTCTTGTTCAGAATGGGACAAAGGAATCTATCACTAAGCTTGTTTCAGACTTGAACAGTGCAACACTGGAACCTGATGTTGGTAAGATATAGTTTTTATTAAATACCATCTAATGTAGCCGTTTCAGATTTCTTGCTAAGAAATTTTGTATTTGTGAGGTTATTTCATTTTCTTGTCTAACTCAAAAGGTTTTATGAAGTTTGCTAATATTTATCCTTTTGGCAAATTGGACAGATGTTGTGGTGGCACCTCCCTTTGTCTACATTGATCAGGTGAAGAATTCATTGACAGAGAGGATTGACATATCTGCTCAGAACTCTTGGGTTCAAAAAGGTGGAGCTTTCACAGGAGAAATCAGGTTAGCTAACTTGTCATTGATGAGGGCAACTTATTATTTGTTTCTATTCTGCAATATTTGATACAGTTTGCATGAATTATCCTCATCAATGGGTTCTGAATGTGGTCTTTTCACTCTGATATCTAGCTGCAGAATATGCTCATTAGATGGCTTTTCCAATGTAGAATTTCAACATGTCTCTCTCATTATTGGACTCAATGTGCCTAATATATATTCTCCATTTTTTAAAGAAATAACTGTACTTTTTAGTTTCTTGGCTGCTGGTCTTTTGGTTCCAAAATCATCATCTTGTCATGGTTAGACTGCATGATTTCTGTATCCAACAGAGTCCTTTGTGTGTAAAGGTTTTATCAAATTACTTGGTTTGTTTAAGCATATTTCCTTTGCTTTTTGTTTCTTCACCTTTGCCTTTCTGTGGTTCTTGGTGTTATCACATTCACTATTCATAGTCTAATATAATTCATGATAATCATTTTGTAGTGTTGAACAGTTGAAAGATATTGGCTGCAATTGGGTTGTTCTTGGCCATTCTGAACGTAGACACATTATAGGTGAAGATAATCAGGTAAAAATTTATGGAGCGATGTCATTCAAAGGATCAAAGATTGCTGTTGTTTCTGCTATTTAAGTAGTGTATTTAGAAAATGGAACTTTGACCAAAAAGTTGTCAACTTCAGTTTATAGGAAAGAAAGCTGCTTATGCTTTGATTGAGGGTCTTGGAGTAATAGCTTGCATTGGGGAACTTTTACAAGAAAGAGAAGCCGGGAAAACTTTTGAGGTCTGCTACCAGCAGCTGAAGGCTTTTGCAGGTAAACTGTCTTGATGTCTTTTTCACCTTTCCTCTCTTTTTCAAGTAAACTGTTGTTTTTGTTTATGTTTTAATTTTTGCCATGAAAAACGTAACTTCCAATTAACTACACAAAGCATTGTTTTATTTGATTTATTGAAAAAGGAAAGGGGCAGAGTTCTTATACCCAAAATTTCATTGTGTGCTAGATGCTGTACCCAGCTGGGACAATATAGTTATTGCTTATGAGCCTGTATGGGCTATTGGGACTGGAAAAGTAGCTACACCCCAGCAAGCTCAGGAAGTGCACATAGCTGTTCGTGATTGGCTTAAAAAGAATGTCTCTGATGAAGTTGCATCTAAAACGCGTATCATATATGGAGGTATGTAATATTGGGTGTTCTGTTTTAGATATCTGAGTATTGCCTTCCAAGCTTTGAGTGCCAGTGTGGGAAATATATATCTGGAATTTCTTATATCAAGAGAACTCCCATGATCTTATCATCTACCAAGGATCCTTGTTAGGGTATTCTACAGTCTGAGTGGTGCAGTACTTCTGTGACCAGTACTTGGATAAATCACATGGTGCAGAACGTAGCTGCTTGTATAATAATCTTGTCTAGTGAAATTAGTTGTTTTGGGGCTACAGCTAATGCAGGAGTAGGTAGTATCAGTACAGCATCTTTATATTTGTTAATCAATTTTGTTATTAAGTTATTATACAATCCATGGTTCAACCCTTGTTAAGTTGATGTCAGTCTTTGGTTTTAATCACTTGTGAATTATATTATGGCTTCTGAGAGTTAGAATGTGTAGAATTTGGATCAGACTTGTCAAGATGTTCTCCTTTTCTAGTCCCAATATATTTTAATTACTTTTGCAGGGTCAGTAAATGGAAGCAATTGTGCTGAGCTTGCAAAGCAAGAAGATATTGACGGTTTTCTTGTTGGTGGTGCTTCCTTGAAGGTATATTCCTTTGTTTATGGCTAATTCAAAGTGTCATAGATAACAGAGACAGCTTAGAATTATTTCTGTTATCCTTGATGTTACTTATCATTTTTTACCATGATTTTTTGATTGATCAGGGCCCTGAGTTTGCTACCATTGTCAACTCTGTAACATCCAAAAAGGTCGCTGCATGAATATGTGAGGTTGTCATAGCAAAAAATAAAGGGCAGAGAGATGCTTTCCGTTCAATTCTAAGCTTCATGTAACCTATCTATGACTATGAGCATGTATTATCAAAGTTTTGATTATTTCTTTGAATTTTGCTAAAATTTTCTCCTTTGTTTCATTTGTCAACTCCCCGCTTGATTCTCAGATGCTAACAAAAAACTGTATTTTCATGTATGATTATTGGGAATATCAGATGGAGATGGAAATAAAAGTAATTATGTCTGGTTTACTTGGTGTCTAAAAAATTTCATAAGATTAAAGTAGTGCTTCCTAGTTCTCAGTTCTCTCAGATTCTTGGGTCTATCCTTACCTCTTTGCTCAACTTTAGCACATGTAGTTGCCTGCATGTTTAGAAGGCGAAAGTTCTAGGAATGTGTTTCCTAATCCTACGATATATGCTTTGGTACCAGACACTTGAGTGCCCTTTAATCCAACGGAAAAAGGGGTTGCCGAGAGACAGGCACTTCCTACACTCAAGGAATTTATCCCAAAGCCACCTTAAAACATAGCAAACCAAGCCTCTAAAGATTAAACCATATAGTAGTCTCGAGAACTCTTGGCAAA